CTCGGCCTCAGCTGTGATGTTCATGAGGATTTCACCAGCTCATCTTTCCACGAGCCCTCTGGGACAAGAGTTGGAGGGGAAAGCATCTTTGGGGAGCATAGGTCTGCCCAGCACTCAAAGAAAACCCCACTGAGAAGAATACGACAGGCCAGTATGTCTGCTCATTCCACCCTTCCCAGAACTCACACAACCTAATCAAACATATTCAGTTCAGAAAGACAAATGTTTACACGCATTTATGTGTATCATACATGGTTGGCAGTTGCCTCCAATTCAATTACTTCTTCTTTTTAGAACCCTGGTTTTTAGCTGAGCATGTTGCCACCGGAATAAAGACCACCTGCTCCAGCTTCCCTTGTGGTTAGGAGTGGGCATATGACTCTATTTCCCAGCATGCCTTGTAGCCGGGTGTGGCCAAAAAGATGTAAGCAAAAGTGTTGGGGGAGGTTTGGAAAGAAACTCCTTTATAAGGAAAGGTGTGAGTTCTACTATCCTTCCACTTTCTTCTACAGTTGGCCTGGAATGTAGACACATTCGCTGTAGCTCTAGCAGCCATTTTACACTTTTAGCTGATCTTGAGGATGGAAATCAGTTCTAGGATAGTGGGACAGAAAATGAGGAGTTTAAGTCCCCGAAGACATCATGGAACTGTCAGACTGACCCTAAACCGTCTACCCTTGGACTTCTTTTATCTAAAAATGAAGGAAAGAATGAATGGATAAGCTTCAAGCTACTTCTGATGATGTTTATTTTGTTTTATTCTTTGTGCATTCAAACTTAACTTTACACTTTGGAGACGTAGGTAAAGATGATTTAAGACTAACCCCCCCCCCAATCTACAGCATATTAGAGTCCAAAGCCCTCCTCAAGACACCTGTGAATTCCTGAGCTTGAATTCTCTTGCTCTCTCTGCCTCTGTACTTCCTTCCACCTGTGACTTCTTAGCTCTGCCCTGCTCTGATCCAAACATGAAACTTGTTCTCACTGATTTCCACAAAAATCCTTACAGGACCTGGACAAAGTATCATTTCACACATGGAACAGCAAAAGCCTTGCAAATCTACATCGGACCTTTCTATTAGCTCAGTTTTGCCCCCTCACTTCCCAGCACTCCTCTCTCGGTTTTCTAGCCAGGGAGATCCTCTTGTCTCATCCGTCCCTCTTTTCCCTCCACTCTCATTTCTCTGCTCCTACCCTCTTCCTTCTGGATTATGTCCAAATTTTTCTGCCTTGCTTATGAAACGTACTTCACTCACCACAGCTCCTTTTCCCAAACTTTGATCAGGTCTCCAGCAGACAAAAGAAGTTATACTTCATAGAATTCACCCTCCCTAGAAGGCTTGGTTATAAATGGCATGGTACCCCTGCCAGATACATATCTCTAAAAATCTCAAGAACCTCAAAGTGTGTGAATGAGTGGGTCGGGTTTGTGGGGAGTGTTGGAGCACACAACCTGTTGTGTGTCTAGGTTGCTTTGCACTGCTGCTGGGCCACCCATCGCTCAAGGATCATTGGCTTATTTCCTGGTGCACGGCTTTTCCTGCTGGAAGCTACCAGCGTAGCTCCAGAGAGGCATTCCTGGTCTCCAAACTTTGGCCTATTGCCCACTCTGTGCTTCTCACATTACATCACAAGTCTCCCCCTCACCAGGGATAGGACCTGTGGCTGGCCACTCTGGGGCTTTCTGAATTCTGACTTTGCATCTACTAATGGACATTACTGAAACCCTTTTAAAATCCTTTTAAATGTCTTCAGAAAATGTGCAAAGCAAAGCATGTTAAAATTCCAATATTATTTGAGAAGGATAATATTAATTGATTGTTGGCTTTGAGGTTATCTAACATTTACTGTTAGGGTTTTTTCACTCTCATTGTCTCTTTAATCCTAGGAATTTTTCTATAATATTGCCATTAGTTGACCCATTTTACAGTGACCTCAACTAATCCCAGAGAGGCAGATCCACTTGCCCAAAGGCACACAGTAGGAAGTGGTGAGGCCACAATGAAAATGTAGGTACCGCCTCCTAAATTCATAACTCTTTTAATCAGCAGATGTGCAGCCCTGTTGTGGATTTACTATTTCTCTAGAACAGAACAGAAAGAGGATTGGCTTGAAGCTAGAATAAATAAGCTCTGATTGGGGAGGAGAAGGTCAGCAAAGGGTCTGGGGTTGATGGGTCTGAACTGAGCACCACTGCAGGGAATCCTGGGAAGCCAGAAGTGAAGAGAGGGACCCTTGGTGTCAGGAAGAGGAGAAAGTCAAAGGGAAGATATGCTTTGGTGACAGCACCAGCTTTTACATTATCTCCTGCCTCCAGGTCATTTTTTTTTTTCCTGATTAAAGCACTTGCTGTGAATGAGATGGGTGAGGCCAATGCAGGTCAAAAAATAATCAGGAAGCATATTCAGACAGAACAAACCAGAACCACAGGTGCAGCATTTGGGAATTATAAACCGTCAGCCTTCTGCTACAGGGACTGTGGTTTGAATCGAAACTCCTCCCGTAAAGTAACAAAATGCTGCAAGGAAGAAATCTCATTCCCAAAAGCAGATACTGAGAAAATCAGCATTGGAGCCTCTGACAGCTGGGGTCCCCTAGGGGCGTCATACAGGGTCCAGCTAGTTATGATAAGCCACGGGCAGATCCAGCACGTCGTGCAGAAATCCTCGGTCATGTGCACTCGATGCTCAATGAATAAAGGCAGCCCTGCTGGGGGAAATGAGAACGGCCAGTCTGAGGGGCACCTCGAGGAGCTCCCCACCTTGGTGACGGAAGGGTCTTGCTCAGCAGTGTGCATGCAGGCACCTACCCTTGCTGCAGCATTAGTTAGCAAAATCACTTCCTGATTTCCGTGTTCTTCTTTTGCCCCTGCCCAGTAAGAACTTGACCTTCGAGTGTGAAAATGACCCTGCTTGTGGAAAACCTGCAGCGTATGCAGTGTAAGTGCGACAGACCTTATAGCTGAGGCATCTCACGCCTGGAAATGGTAAGGGACGTGCTTGGCACTGCACGGCCAAGCCAGGCATTCCCAGTTTGGCCAGCCTGGAGGCCGGAGCACGCCAGGTCACCTCAGGGCTCCCTGTTCCTGGGGTGGGGGGTGGGGGCAGGTTGGTAGGCAGAGCTGCCTGCATCACACATATATGACCAAGGTTTAAAACCTGCACACAGTGTCACACTGAGAAATTCCTCCCACCCTGAGAGACCTGCTTACAGCTATAGATCTAGGCCAGAAGAACCTCAGGAGGCCCAGCCCTGTGCCAAGTGCTCTTCTGGAAGCTGCCTGAAGATTCCTCACCGATCTATGGGTTAGCAAAGTAGACTGTGCATTCATGGAGCGCTGCCCGGTGCATAGACGCTGCCTCTTCCAATCCATGCCATTTCCCCACACCTTGGCCCGCAACTACCTTGGGTGTCTTATTATTCTCTCGAAGGCTGACCTGGGGTGCAGATTTCATCGCACTCCTGCTGGAATAATAACCAAAGCTTTGATTTACCAAGCACTTTCTTTCTGCCAGGTTCACTGCTTTATAGTTTGGTTACATCATCTATTTTAGTCCTTCCAGCAACCTTGTAGGACAAATATTATTATCACAATATAAATGAGGAAACTGAAGCATTTAAAGGTTATATTACTGATCTAGTACATTACTCAGAGGTAAACAATAGGTGTAATATTTGAACATGGGTCTTTTTTGTCTTTGCAGTATGAGCTCTTAATCATTCCATTATCCTGCCTCTTTAGGAAGTCTCTGGAATTTCTCTCATCCCTGCCCGCTATGGTGGTCCTGGTGACCTCCAGAGCTTTCCTTAGTTACAGGATCAGGGACCCTGAGGACTAGACTCAAAGGAAGTGACCTGTGACTTCCACCAAGGTCATCCACGGTGTCGGTTGGTCCAAGCTATCCCAGGACATAAGCAGGGAATCACTCTGGCATGTGATATCTCTGCTGCAGATTCAGAGATTTGACAAATTGGCATTTATTAAGCTAATGGCTACAAAGCAATCTTTGAACCATAAAAATTGTATTTCCTACATCCTGGAAAGAATACAACTCTAAAGCTCTGTGTGCTCTTTTGAACGCTACTCCTTAAATAAAAGCAAGAGGAGGAAGAGGAGGAGGAGGAGAAGGACAGCTCTCCACCAAGTCTGATAGCTTTCATAATTTTTCATTTCATAATATTACATGAAGTTAATAATAAGCTTTCCTCAGAGCCTAATCAAGGAGAGTAAAAATTGCAGGACCTCCCAGATTTATCTAGATTGTGGTACTTTGGCCCAGTCCCCTTATCTTGTCTGAGAATGGCATATGACTTTGCTCTATCTGTTTTAGAACAAAGTACTTAGATTATATGTCTTTTCTTTATCTGTGATCTGGTTCAGTTTTTTTTTTTTTTGCACACAGAAAAACAGCATTCAGTTCTCATCTTCAACACAGAAAATCAGTCTCTTAAAAATGAACAGATCATCTACAGGTGGGGAATATAAACATGTTTTGAAAATCTGGAGAAAAGAGATGGCTCATACATAGCCAAGTAAATAGGAACAGGTTAATTCTAGCACATTGCTTTTTCTCATTAGATTTAAGATCCAGCTGTGCCGACTGCCCATTACTGTCTGCGTTGCTTATTTCCTGTACGCAAGACCGAAGGCCATGAGAAAAGTTGACCCTCGAAAGAATAATCCAACTACTCCAGAGGAGAACTACTTGACCAGAATATTCTTTAGCAGCTGAATGAGTTCAGTCTCACCATACGAAACTGTTCAGAGAAAAAAAAAATTGTTCAGAGCAAAACGAACTTCAGAATACAGGAAATTATAATTTCTATAACGTGTGGACACTGCTGATCAAATTGCTAAAGAGTGTGTGTTTGTGGTTTATTTTTTTTTTCTTCAGTTTTAGTTTTGTTTCGTTTTGCAAGAATGAAAGGGGAAGGGCCTCCTAACCACCCCACAGGATGTTTCCCGTAAGACTGGAGGTTCCAGGGCTTATGACCAACTTTGGCCGGCAGGTGAGGGCGGGCGAGCACAGAAGGGCACACTATTGCCATTGCTGCCACTTGGGTTTGTCCTTCTGCTGCAGATTTTAACTCCGAAAACCTGCCTGCCAGGGGCTCCCTGCAGCTCTTTCCGGTGCAGGCTTCTGGCTCTCTCTCAGGGTTCTGCAAGAGGAAGGAGTGGGTCTGTGAGTGTTTATATGTTTTTCTAGTCCCTTCACACTTATGAAAAGTGTGTATATGTGAGAGTGTGCAGAGTGTGGGGGGGTTGTCAAAGAGAGAACGAGGACGGAAGAGAAGGAGAGTTCTCTGAGAGCTCCTGTGGCCCTGGCTTCAGGGTCCCTCAGTGGGCTGCCTCTGTAGCCAGGCTCTCCTGGTGCACGGCTCTGAAATGAAGTCCCCCTGGAACATCTGTTTGGCGACTCCTCTGTTCTTACTCCTGCCCATTCACACATGGGCCTCTCCAGCCTCTGAGGACCAGGCCAGCGCCAGATACTCCAATGGCCACACCTGTGTAGGTAGGTAAGGTTTGTGTATTTTCATGTGGATGTAACAGTGGGGTCAAATACTTTGCTTGCATAGCATATCACCTATTTAATGATGTCAATAGCTATGAACTCCCAGTAGGGTGCCAATAACCTCACCAGCATAGAAAACCTCTGAGAAAAAAAAAGAAAAGAAAACCTCTGAGCCTGAGAGTGAGCACTCATACTATTGCACGCAAATACCCTATACAATTGCAAGTTTGAATTCGTTATAGAAGTCTTCCATCTTGTTGGTGATAAGAATTTTTTCTCTTGCATGGACAGCTCTTGTAAGAGCCTGAAATGCTTACCCCTTTCAGAAGGACAGTGGACAGCGTCGCACAGCAGAAAGAAGATGGCCTTTGACTTCAGACAGCATCATTTCTGTCATCTTCTATTGCTCAGGATGTCCTGGTCCTTCCACTCAGATTGAGGACATAGTTCCATCCTTTTTTGTGAGGTGTGTTGAGGAATTTGTGGCCGTCCTCGTCAGCCACAGGGTTTGTTTGGTTTCCTATGCAACTACTCCACAGCCCCAAGAGCTCAGGGAGTCTGTTTGCTGGTTAGGTTTGGTGATGGTTTAGCACCCATTTACCCAATTCACAGCTTCTGGCTAACTCTGCCTGGAGCTGTTGACCTGTCCTCATGGTAAGAAGAAAGGCCAGGGCAAGATGAGTCTGTCGTGATCGACATTTACTCAGCACTGGCTGTGCTGAGCCAGGGGCTGCAGGCAGTCCCAGTTGGGGTCTCACTATTTGGATTGGTTGCATGGAGAAACGGGCTCAGAAATTTGTGCACAGGGGAGTTTATTGAGGTGTGCTCTTGGGGAAAACACCATGAGGAGGGATGGAACAGAGGGAGCAGGTAGGAGGAAAATATGGGCTGCGCTATAGCCACACACACACACACACACACACACACACACACACACACCTTCTGTCAATCCCACAGGAAGCTCTGGACTAAATTGGCTCTTTGGAGTGGTCTGAGGTGGATCCAGACCCTAGAACTGCCCCCATTGAACAGTCACTGAATATGAACTGCCCCCAGTGGGGAGCATAGGGTGGAGGCAATGCCTGCAGAAATACTTGATGTGAGCCCTTAACACCAACAGTCACAGCAACAGGGGGAGGGAGTATCTTCTAAAGGGAACCTGGAGGTGCTCTGGCTTACAGGGGCAAATGTGGGGAATGTTTTAGGAAGCAGTGAAGTAAGCTCATTCACAGCTAGTGGTAAGAGGAAGAGTATCATGGAGGAGGCAGGAGAAGAGAAGGGATGGCTGGTTGGGCTTCGGCTACTTTCTGATGAAAAGCAAGACGATATGACTTCAAATTCACTGCACAAATACACTTTCCAAACATTCCTACGTGCCCACTACCCACGTGGTCACTGAATGGCCACCACATGCCAGGCCCTGTCCTCGGAGCTAGAGGTACAAAGGTGAATAACAATTATTTTTAAAATGCCTCTGTCCTCAGGAAGTTCACTGTCCAGTCTAGGGGGAAAAAATAAGAATCTGGACTGTAATGTTTAAAATGAAAGACAAACTGGGTGCTTAGGGCACATGATAATACTCCACCTCACAGGCACCCTATAAATTGCAGTGTCCAGGAGAGAGCCAGCAGGAAGTCAAGAAGCACAGAGCAAAGACAAACTATTTCAAAGCAGACAACTGCTCACTACAAGAACCTCATCATATTCATAAAGTTGCCAGGGGAAGGTAAAAGTATAAGCTGAGGGAAAAGGAAGAGGAGTGGGGTAAAGTTTTAGAAATTTATAAGTATTTCTACCCAAGTGTTGCCAGGCAAGAAGGAAGCTTCAGGTGTCTCAAAGATTCCATTGCCATTACCTCCTTCTCGAAAGACTCTAGACAGCAAAAATCTTGAGAAAAGTTGGTCAGGTAGTTGGATTTCTGATCATCCAATTGAGCAGTCAGGAATAATCTTTGTTAGCCACCAGCAATCTCCTAATCACCATCCCAAAATAAAGTTTCATCTTGTTCATAGAAGTATACACTGGCCTTGATTTATAAAATCATAATAAAATAAAATATTTATAGTCACCTTCTCAACACATGGAAGTAGTTCTGCTTCCCAATTTTTCATGGAGTTTGATTGAATTAATTTGGTTCTAAACATTTTTATGAAGATGTGCTTTTAGTGATCATGTTTGTTTCCTACCCATGAAAATTTTTTTGCTACTGGTCCGTAGCCATTCTTGAAGCTTCTGGGCATTTCTCCTTGCCACCTTCCATATTTTCTCCAAGTTGCATCTGGGCTAATTGGAGTGGTACATGGGGAAAGGAAGGGCTCTTCACCTGTAAGAATTACCTTTGTAAGTTAATCATTATGAGTTAATCATTTTTAAAGATTTTATTTATTTATTCATGAGAGACACAGAGAGAGAGAGAGAGAGGCAGAGACACAGGCAGAGGGAGAAGCAGGCTCCATGCAGGGAGCCCAATGTAGGACTCGATCCCAGGACTCCAGGATCATGCCCTGAGCCACCCAGGCATCCCTGCTAACATTTATTGAGCATGTACTGTGTCATTAACAGTCTTCCAAAAAAGTTTATATGAACTATCTCATTTGATCATTAAAGTGACCCTACCAGATATATATCATCATTATTCCCACTTGGCAGGAGAAACAATTGAGACCTAGAGAAATAAGAAATTTGGCCAGTTTACACAGCCAGTTAAAACCTGCCTTAGATTTCACTGTAGGTGTGATTATAGGGTTTTTTTTTTAAGTGATTAAGTTGGGGCAATAGATTTCTTACCCATATTTTTTTAAATAAAATTTTATTTTATAGCTTTGTTGAGATATAATTCATATACCATAAAGTAAACCCTTTTGAATTGTTTATTTAGTATATTCATAAGTTGTGTATTGGTCATCAATATTTAACCCAAACATTTTTATGATGCTGAAAAGAAACCCAACATTTGTTAGTAGTCACTCCCCACCTCCCTCTCTCTTCAGTCCCTGGAAACCACTAATCTCCCTTACATCTATGAACATTTTCCAAAAATGTAATGATAAAATACATGGTGTTTTGTTACAGGCTACTTTGACTTAGCATAATGTTTTTAAGCATGCACCAACTTCATTTCTTCTTACGAATTAATAATATTTCATTGTCTGAATATGCCCCACATTGTTTATCTAGTCATCAGTGATGGACACATGCATTGTTCCCAGTTCTTAGCTTGTATGACTAATTCCGATACAAATACCCATGTATAAGTTTCTGTGTGGGTATTCATTTTCTTTTCTCTTGGGGATATACTTAGGAGTGGAATTTCCAGGTCATATGATAACTTTGTTTAACATTTTGAGAACCTCCAAAGTGTTTTCTAGAGCTGCGGCACTGTTTTACATCTTCACCATTAGTGCATGAGGGTAAGGTTTACCCATAACCTTGCCAATACCTTGTTATTATCTTTCTTATTATAGTCATCCTAGAGTATATGGAATGATATACCTCATTGTGGTTTTGATTTGTACTTTCCAAAATAATAGTGATGTTGAACATCTTTCTGCCTGTTTATTGACCACTTGCATATCTTCTTAGACAAAATGTCTACTCAAGTCATTTGCCCTCTTACTAAAAGTCTGTTTGTTTGTTTGTTTGTTTGTTTGTTTACCGCATGAGTGGAGGGAGGGGAAGAGGAAGAGAGAGAGAGAATCTCTAACAGACTCCATGTTAGCAAGGAACCCAATGCGGGGATCCATCCCAAGACCCTGAGATCATGACCTGAACTGAAATCAAGAGTCAGATGCTTAACTGAATGAGCCACCCAGTTGCCCCTCTTTTGCCCATTTTAAAACTGGATTATTGTCTTTTTATTGTTGAATTGTAGAAGTTCTTTATATACTCTAGACACATATCCATTACCAAATATATAATTTGTAAATATTTTCTCCCATTCTGTGGAAGTTTTTTTTTTCACTTTCTTGATGGTATCTTTGGAAGTACAAAAGTTTTACATCTTAATGAAGTCCCATTTGTCTATTTTTTTCTTCTGTCTTTTGTGCTTTTTGTGTATCTAAATCCCATATTTTAAAAATTTGTTGTTTGGGGGCATCTGGGTAGCTCAGTGGTTGAACATCTGCCTTCAGCTCAGGGCATGATCCTGGGGTCCCGGGATTGAGTCCTACAACGGGTTCCCTGCAGGGAGCCTGCTTCTCCCTCTGCCTATGTCTCTGCCTCTCTGCATCTCTCATAAATAAATAAATAAAATCTTTGAAATAATAAATAAATAAATAATTTGTTGTTTTTAACTATTGTCTTCCTATTGTCATGTGCTCATCCCCTCATCTTATTTCCCAGACATTAGGTTTTGGTAACACAGAGTATAACTCTTGGGGTTGTGAGTAACAGAAATTAACTTGAGCTGAGCTAAGCTAAGCAAGCTAAGCTAATTAATTTAATTAATTAAATAAATAAATAAATAAAAAATAAAAGGAGGAAGTTTTTTAATGAAAGATCCTAGGAATGAATTTTAGAACCAAAAGGCAGGAAAACATAGTCAGGCCTAAGAACATGAGCCAAAAAATGAGCCAGGATCCAAAAAATGATGGTTGCCAGGGTCCCAGGAAGTTCTTTCCTGACCTTTTGGTACTGCCTCCTTCGCTGACCCTACAGACCAGCAGGTTTTACCTCTCCAGGCTCTTTGGTCCATTATGGGCTCCCATAGGCCAGAATTTGTCTGCAATTGTTCAGCACACAGAGATGGACTCTCCTTCTCGTTGTTCATCCAGCTTCCCCGCAGAAAGAATCTGGGCTGTCTTTAGACCACTGAATAAGGTGCAACTGGCAGTGAGGAGAGGTTATGGTACAGGTGTATTTGTCAGACCCATGGGTTGAGGAGACAGATTTCATGGAAGTAAGGATTGCTGTGACCGGAGGAGAGACACTCAAAAGAAACCACCCAGAAGTTACAGAGTGATTGAGCCAACGTTCCTCTCATAAACAAACACTTTCAGCTC